TCGCCATCTGTCGCCGCCGTCTGAAAAAGAGGCGGTCGGAGCGACGCGATGGTTTTTCGACCCTTTTGTTTTCGCGTTTTTTATGGGTGGTTACAACGCCTTTAGGTTGTCCGATAACCGGGCTAACCTAGGGGCGAGGTTTTCGAAAGGTGTCCTTGGGTTGTCCGATAACCGGGCTAACCCAAGGACTTATTTATTTTGGGTTCTATGGAGTCGCCACCGATGTTTTTACCGGAAACATCAGAAAAGGTTTTTGAAAGGCGTTGGTTTTCGAAAACCAACTTTGGTCATTAGAACCAGAGTTGGATAAGGGAGTTAGTTACGTGGTAAAGGAAGTATCAGTTCCTTTACTATGCCCCTTTCGGGTTCCCTATGACAGGCCAGCTTTTATTGTTAATAAATAAACCGGAAAATATGCTTTTGCCCTTTTTATTGTGCGGAATTTAAAGTTATGACTACATGACCCTAATCTATTGCATAATTTAAATTAAAGCAGTAAAAGTAGAGAGGGAGAAATTAAACCTCCGAAGCAAGCTTTGTTTTATATTTCTTTAAAATAAATGGGTGCTTTTTGGCAGCTCTTCACTCTACAAAACGCCGGAAACTCTTCTGGACGCCGAAAAATGCTCTCAAAGACACTCAGAAACTCCGGAAATGCGTCGGAGGGATTCTAGAGAGAAGTTTTTAGAGAGAAGGCAGAGCTAATGCTTGAGGTGTGTGGAAATGAGGGGGCGAGAGCCCCTATTTATAGGTTTTCGCGCTGTCAGGTGGCGAGACCGCCGTTCTCGTCTGACAGGGTCGAGACCGCCGTCTCGTCCAATGAGACCGCCGTCTCGACCTGGAAAACGCGGCGAGACCGCCGTCTGGGGAAACAAGACCGCCGTCTCGCCCTTCGCAGGTGGCGAGACCGCCGTCTCGTCAAGCGAGACGGCGGTCTCACCACTTGCGTGAAGCGAGACGGCGGTCTGGGAAATCCAAAGGGCGGTCTCGTCCCAACAAGGCGAGAAAACTTATTTTTTGGTACAGAAACTCCCTCCTATCCTAGTATGGGGCCTAATAGTCTCTCCTAGTGGCTTGTTAGGCTTCGTCCATCTTCAAATAGGAGGTCTTCTGCTCTTTATTTGGAGGCCGGGCAAGATTTGGGGTCTACAGAGATATTATATGAGCTTTATCAATTAAAATGTTCTTAAAACTTACATGACAAATTTTTAACCGATATAGTTTCAAAATAATCGATTAAAATCCTTTAAGCATTACCAATTTAATTTTTGAAGAGAATTGTTACTCGACGGATTTAAACTCTGTACCTTAGAGTTGGAGGCCGATACTCCAACCACTAAACTACTACAATTTTCTCGATAATAACTTACAAATAAATTATATTTATATAAAAATAAATATATATCTGTGTAAATATATAAATATACAAATAGAAATATATTTATATATTTTGATATATTTATATAATTATATATTTAAATATTTATACGTTGGATGTGAGGACACGCTCAAAGATCAGAGTGTGTGTCGAGTGGGTTTTCAAAATTTGATGCCAAATTTGTGAGCGGGTCTCTTTATATGGGTTTGTAATTTAATGACAGAATATAATCTTTATAATTTATTTATATAATGATATAAAATAAATTTGGGAAACGCGTCATTCACGCGTGAATTTCCGTGAGCTTTAACGTATTTTCACTCAAGTGAGAGTCAATCTCACTTTCACCCTAGAGCGCACCCTCAGATCCAACATATAAATATTTAAATATATATAAATATATCAAAATATATAAATATATTTGTATTTATATATTTATACTGGATATATATTTATTTGTATATAAATATAATTTATTTGTAAATTATTATTAGAAAATTATAGTAGTTTAGTGGTTGGAGTATCAGCTTTCAACTTTAAAATACTAGGTTTGAATCCTGTCAGCTGACAATTTTCTAACTTAAGTGAATTTTTGGTTGAAAAAAAATAAAAACACTTTCCATAAAAATATATACAAATAAATATATATTTACACTGGATATATATTTATTTGTATATAAATATAATTTATTTGTATGTTATTATCAGAGAATTATAGTAGTTTAGTTGTTGAAGTATCGGTTTTCAACTATAAAATATTGGGTTCAAATCCATCGCTGACAATATTCTAACTTAAGGCTTTGTTTGGTTGGAGTGATTTGAGAGAGTGGAAATGAGAGAGTGGAAAAGGAGGGATTTGAAGAGAAATGAAGATGAAATTAAAGTTGTTTGGATGAATGGAAAGTGAAAGGAAAGTTTATGGGAAATTGTGAATGATTTGATTGATATGAGATATAAAAATTATAATTTTATGTTGATTATTTAAGAAAATTACCATTTTACCCTTTGTATAAAATAAGGTTCAAATGATTATAAATATAATTTTTTAATTAATTATCCATATTTTAACATTGATTATATATTTAAAAGAAAAAACAAAATTAAAAGTGTTTGTAATTGGAAACAAATTTAAAAAATTAACTTTTTTTAGATAGTTATTAAAAATTATATAAATAAACAATTACAAAATTATGTACATTGCATATCCATATTCAAATAATGTTGACATATTAAATAAATTATTTGACTAATAATTAAATAATTATAAAATATAAAATAATAATTAATATTGATCGATAATAACAAATAATTATGAAAACTAATAATATAATTGTACATTATTATTTAAAACAAATATAAAATACAATGAAAATAGAATAATAATTAAATGAAACATTACTAAAATTATAAACCTATGCACACTAATGCTCTTCAAACAAATAATTATAATGTTATTCATCTTTTGCAGTCAAGTCCTCCAGCTTCAGATCATTCAATCACTTCCACTCAAGAACATGAACAACTGGGAGAGACGAAGATGTCCCATATATCTGACTCCGAATGTTGAAATGTTGATGATCGTCTCATCACATTAACTTGAGATAAAATAATTACAATATAATTTTCTACTTTGAGAATTAATAATATAATTAAACTCAAAATTGAGAATACTCTTATACATTTTGAACTCTTTTGGATAAATTTTGTTTCCCTAATTTTTGATAAAGTTAATTTTAATATTTAAAATTATTTAACATTTTGAATTCTGAAAGGTTTTCTCTAATAGCAAATTAAAAAACATAATATTCAAAAAATATTTTAAGATTCAGTCTCGGGTTGTATTTCGTTCGAGCGATACTACTCTCGCTCGAGCGAAATAAGATCCTGATCGATCATAATTTGAAATGATCGATCATAATTGGAGGATATAATAGCGGTTCCTCTGTAACCGCTATCTAAAGTGTATATTAGATAGCGGTTAAGGTTTAACCGCTATTATAAGCTCCCTATATACAACCATATTTTAAGTTTCTTGAGTCTCGGGTTGTTTTTCGCTTGAGCGACTATATCTCGCTCGAGCGAAATTTGATTCTGATCGATTAGATTTTCGAAATGATCGATCATATTTGATAATTTTTTCAAATAATTAATTCTAATCGATTATTTTTCTAAATTATTGATTAGAATTGATTAGTTTTTCAAATAATAGCTTAGAATTGATTAATTTCTGAAATATATATTAAAAAATTATAATTAAAAATATAGATTATTTAAGAATATTAACTATTGTAAAGATAAAGTAGAACATGGGAGGAGATGAGGATGATAATATAATGATAGAAGTTACAAAAATGTAGAATTGAGAAGTTTGAAACAAAAAAAATTAAGAAAATAGAGATTTAATTACACTTTTAATAAATTGAACATAATTACAATATAATTTTCTACTTTGAGAATGAACAATATAATTAAGAAGATCAAGTGTAATGTTATTGATGCTAATTTTAACAATAATACAATAATATTATTTTCGAAAATGCCCATATGAATGTGAATATTTTGATCATTATTATATAAAATAATTAAAAGAATAAGGTAAATAGAAAAGTAAAAATGCATGGTTATACCACTTTCCTTTTAATCTATAATTAGTTAGGTATGAATCAAATGTAAAGTCTAATGTTATTGATGCTAATTTTAAGAAGATCACAAAATGTAAATTAAAATAATTACAATATAAATTTCTACTTTGAGAATGAACAATATAATTAAACTCAAAATTGAGAATACTCTTATACATTTTTGAACTCTTTTGGATAAATTTTGTTTTTCTCATTTTTGATAAAGTTAATTTTAATATTTAAAATTATTTAACATTTTGAATTCTGAAAGGTTTTCTCTAATAGCAAATTAAAAAACATAATATTCAAAAAATATTTTAAGATTCAGTCTCGGGTTGTATTTCGCTCGAGCGATACTACTCTCGCTCGAGCGAAATAAGATCCTGATCGATCATAATTTGAAATGATCGATCATAATTGGAGGATATAATAGCGGTTCCTCTATAACCGCTATCTAAAGTGTATATTAGATAGCGGTTAAGGTTTAACCGCTATTATAAGCTCCCTATATACAACCATATTTTAAGTTTCTTGAGTCTTGGGTTGTGTTTCGCTTGAGCGACTATATCTCGCTCGAGCGAAATACCATCCTGATCGATCATAATTTGATATGATCGATCATAATTGGAGGATATAATAGCGGTTCCTCTGTAACCGCTATCTAAAATATATATTAGATAGCAGTTATGGTTTAACCGCTATTACAAGTTGTTTTTAAGAGCGGTTCTGGGGAAACCGCTATCATATACAACAAGTTTTTTGATTGTTCGATCATATCTGAAAATATATAATAACGGTTAAGATTTAACCGCTATTAGAAGTGCTATATAATAGCGGTTAAGTTTTAACCGCTATTAGAAGTGCTATTATAATAGCGGTTAAGATTTAACCGCTATCATATACAACCATCGCGAGGAGGCGTGGATGCACTGTGTGTTCACATGCAGGAGATGGAGAAGGGTAAATAAGTCATTTATTATTTGATGATGTGTCTTTCTCTGCTATCCTCTCAAATCCTCTTTGTTTAAGAGGGTGAGCTTTCCTCCCATCTCCCTCAAATCCGCGCCTGCATATCCTCTCATATCAGTTGCAACAAACGAATAACATCCCGCTTTTCTATCCTTTGAAACAGTAAATCACTTGCAACAAACACAGGCTAAGTGAATTTTTGGGTGAAAACACTTTCCACGTCGGTTAATCTGGAAACCGACGTTGAATGTGTCAATAAAAAGACTTTCCACGTCGGTTCATCTTGAACTGACGTGGAAAGTACTTTCTACGTCGTTTGACTAAAAACCGACGTAGAATATGTTCAATATTCAACTTTTAACGTCATTTTTAACCAACCGACGTTGAAAGTGTATTCAACATCGGCTCAGCTTTAACCGACGTTAAATGGCGACGTGGAAAACATATTTTGTAGTAGTGAAAATGTTTTGAAAAGTGTGATGGCAGTATTTTATCAATATAACTTCGAAATAATCGATTAAAATCACTTGAAAAGCTTTTTAATCGATGTAATCTCATATATGATCGATCAGAATAAGTTTTAATCGATGTAATCTCAAAAATGATCGATCAAAATAATTTTAATTGATGTAAAATCGAATTAATCGATTAAAGCAACTTAATGAACTTTTTGCTAATTGTTTTAATCAATTAAAACTTGTTGTTATCAGTTAAAATTACTTAGAAAGTTTTGTGAAAGTTTTTGGCAGAATATTAATCGATTAAATTGCAAATTAATTGATTAAAACAACTTAAGGGACTTTTTGTTAATTGTCTTAATCGATTAAAACGATGTCGCATCAGTTAAAATAAATCTGGAAAATAATCAAGAACATTTTAACAGATTAAAATAAGTTTTAACCCATTAATCAAACCCCGTTTAACAGATTAAAAGAACGGTTTAACAGATTAATTAAACCAGAAGTTGAAAAACTTTTCTATATAAACAGACTTGATTCAACAGTTTAAAATATACTTTTGAGCAATCAATCAAGCAATCATAAGAGCTATTTTCAAGAAACCCATTCTGCAGGAACTGCATAATCCAGGTTTGATTGTTCTAGTTTCTTCTCTTTTTTCTTTACATTTCTTTACTGTATTGTGGGTGTCTAGAATTGTTGAGCACTGGTTTTGTAGCTGAAATTTGGCTGCAGGTTGGTACAAGAACTGGAACTTGGTTCTTGGGTAGTGTGTGTCTAGAATTGTTGGGCACTGGTTTTGTAGCTGGAATTTGGCTGCAAGTTGGTTCAAGAATTGGAATTTGCAAATTGGTTCTTGGTGAAGGTTTATGTGCAAGATCTGGAATTTGGGTCTTGTGGTAGATTGGGTGTGTGATTAGAATCTGTAATCTGTAAAACATTCAATATAGTGGAACTCAGCTGGAATTTGGTTGAGAACTAGACGTAGCCCTGAGATTGGGTGAACCAGTATAAATCTTGGTTATATTTCTCTAAACCTTACTCTCTTTAATTCTGCTGCTGTCTAATTTTGAATAGCTTGATTTTCTTGGTTCAAGAATTGGTCAAAACTCTTAATCTTTGAAATAGATAATCTATAAATTGCGAAAATCTTTCAAAGATCAATTCACGCCCCTCTTGATCTTAGTCTCTTTTTCTAACAATTTGTTGCTTGGAGACTTCGGGGGGCTGGATGAGCACCGCCCTTGCTTCGGATTGTACTGGGGCCTTCTATTTGTAGAAGAAATCCTCCTCCTCTTCTTCCTCATGGCGAGAGGCGCGGTCTCCATGGGTCTCACCTTTATTGAGGTTTTGTTGGTGCATCATCTCCACCTCAGCAGTGAGTTTGTGATTCTGCTCCTCCAGTTGCTCCATTGCTTTGGCTTTTAGCGCACGGGTTCAAATTACAGGAAGACCAACCACTTTCTAGAATGTCGAAATGAATTTTATTACTTAAAATGAATGATTGGTGTGGGATAGATATGCCTTAAGACAATGGCTTTGGTATCATCCCTAAAGATTATGCTTTGTGAGGTACCATACCCACTTTGGTATAACGGTTCCTTCCCTATCATAGACTAACAAGTGTAACGAAGGTCACCATATACACCTTAGTACACTTGTCCCTTCCTTGTGGATGGTTACAAATGTGCTCGGGGTCTCTTTCACCTTTGTCTTAGGGATATCTAATGCCCCTTAGCATGAATGTGTTTATGCATGGAAGGCTTTATGATACGTATGCATGTCCTCCTTATGCATTTATTTTTTCTCTTGGTTTTTCTACTCATGAAATGATGCGGATATGAATGGTTTGACTTTGTCAAAAATCATCTTATTGGATAATATTGTTTCTAAATGAATGCTTGAGTTTTATTGTATGTTGCTTTTTATTTTTACCCCTTTATCTCTTCTATATGTCAACGTGGCTACTTATCTTACAAAGCACCTGAAACCAGGCTAGCTAAAATGAAGACTATTCGAGATAAAAGTGGCTTATTATGAAATAATGGTTTTTAGATCCCCTTATCTCTTCTGTCGGTCCACGTGGCTACTTAGCTTATAAAGAACCTGAAACTAGGATAGCTAAAATGTGAATTGTTCGAGATAAGGGTGTTTATTACGAAAGTGTTTTGAGATTTTGTTTTTATTTTGCTATTGTATGATTATGCTATGCAACAAACAAATGCAACAAACAAATGCACAAACAATTCAATCATCCGTGAACTGTGTGATGACGTTTTTATCACGAGGTAGGGGTATCCTGCAAAAAAGTGTGTATTCAAGGTGGTTCTAATTATCCTCACCAAGGCCAGGCCCCCAAGGTGCCCCCATTATAGGGTTCCCACTCTTCCATCCCTCAAACCATGCATGACACTAGGGCCTTGTCAGTCTTTAGGGCAAAAGAGGAAGGTTATCACCTTGAGTGGTGGTTTTCGACCATACCGGTGGGCTCATGGCCCTCACTACGACAAATCGTACCTACCACCCACTCCCTAAGGTTATCCCACATGCCCCTAGGTATAGGGGGAACTGTTGTATGCAAAGGTTTGTGTACAGTTGTTATTTCAAGCAATTGCAGAAAGCAGGCATACAACAGTTATTAAAGTCAAATAGTAAAACATGTTATAAAAGCAAGGAAGGATAAAGGCATAATTTCAAGTTTTTATATATTAAACTAGTCCATCACTAAAGGGATCAACTCTCTAGCATCCCCAGTGGAGTTGTCATTTGTCGCCACTGTCAAAAGAGGCGGTCAGAGTGACGCGATGGTTTTGATTTACTCACATTTTTTAAAGATGTTCAACGCCTTTAGGTTGTCCAATAATCGGGTTGGACCTAAAGGTGAGGTTTTCGAAAAGGTTCGATAGAGTCGCCACCAGTATTTTAACACTGAAAAAGGTAAAAAAGGCATTGGTTTTAGAAAACCAACTTTGGCCATTATAACCAGAGTTGGGTAAGGGAGTTAGTTACGTGTGGGGAAGGTGTTAGCACCCCACAATGCCCCTTTCGAGTTCCCTATGATGGACTAGTTTATAAAAATAAAGACTAAGAAATTATACTTTTACCCTATTATTTCATCTACTTGTAGAAATTAAACATCTACATGGCTCTAATACTTAATATGCATACAAGGAAAGCGATAAAGACAACAGTAAAAGAGAGTATGTGGAAGAAACCTCCGAAGCAAGCTTTGAATTAAATTTTTGAAGATTAAGGATGCTTTTTGGCTATCACCTCACTCTACAATGTTGCCCACTCCTTTACCGACAGAAAGACTCTAGCTATAGAGTGTCTGAAAAGAGCACTAGAACTCTGGAAGTGCTTCAAAGAGGTTTTAAGAAGGTAGGAGAGTGTATTCAAGGTAAGAATCTCAAAATCTCTGGAAAAGTGTGTGTAATGAGGGAGGGAAGGGCCCTATTTATAGAAATTCGTGCTAGTCAGGGAAAGACGGCCGTCTCGACCCTTGTCAAGCTAGACGGTTGTCTGGCCAAACGAGATGGTCGTCTCGCCTTTTGAGGTGAGACGGCCATCTAGCCAAACAGGACGGCTCTCTTGGGCTCCTGGCGAGAATTCTCTTATTTTCGTGTACAGAAGGCCTTCCTATCCTAATACGCAACCTAGTTCATATGCCTAAGGACCTAAAGAGGCTTTGTCCATCTTTGAATAGAGGTCTTCTGGATTTATTGTGATGTCGGGCAAGATTTGGGGTCTACACTTATAAACATTCATTCACAAATAATAAAGCTTAATAAAATGATTTTGACAAAGTCAAGTCAGTCATACCCTCATCATCTTAAGACAGGTCAAACCGAAGAGAGAAAATAAATGCATAAGAAAGGAATGCATACACATCATTTTAATAAAATCTCTCAAACATAAATTCATTCATTATTAGGATGGGTTAGATAACCTTAAGACAAAGGCGAAAGAGGCCCCAAGTATGTTTGTAACCATCTGCTAGGAAGGGACAAAGGTGCTAAGGTGCGGTAACCTTCGTGATACTTGTCAAATCCATTATGGGGAAGGAACCATTACACCGAAGTGGGTATGGTACCCTGCAAAGCGTAAGCTTTTGAGGATGACACCAAAGTTATTGTCTTAAGGTATATCTATCCCACACTAATAATTTATAATAAAAAGCTATAATAAAAATATTTAAATCATTTAGAAAGTGGCTGGTCTTCTTCCTATCCTCACTCGCACGCAAAAGGCTAAGAGGATGGAACAGTTAGAAGTGCAGAATCGCAAGCTCACCGCTGAGCTTAACTCCATCAAAGAACAAATGGTGTAGTTAATGGAGTTAATGCGTCAGCAGAACTTACACAAGGAGAGCCCTCACAGTGACCACGCCTCACATCTTGAGGAGGAGGGCTCCGACCATGAACTTGAGCACAGAGCTCATGTACAGCTCGAAGTGAGGGCAGTAATCATCCAATCCCCTAAAGTTTCCAAGCAACATATTTATGCTCTTGAAAAGAGGTTAAGGGCTATAGAGGGACATAATTTTGATGTTGTCGCCACCGTCAAAACGAGGCGGTCGGAGCGACGCGATGGTTTCTGACTTTCTATTTTTCGCGTTTTTATTGGTGTGGTTACAACGCCTGTAGGTTGTCCGATAACTGGGCTGAACCTAAAGGCGAGGTTTTCGAAAAGGTGTTATTGGGTTGTCCGATAACCGGGCTAACCCAAGAACTAGTTTTGAAGGGTTCTCTGGAGTCGCCACCGATGTTTTTACTGAAAACATCGGAAAAGGGTTTAAAAAGGCGTTGGTTTTTGAAAAACCAACTTTGGTCGTTAGAACCAGAGTTGGGTAAGGGAGTTAGTTACGTGTAAAGGAAGTGTTAGTTCCTTTACGACGCCCCTTTCGGGTTCCCTATAATAGGCCAGCTATTTAAATGATTAAACTGGAAAAATACGCTTTTACCCTTTTATTTGCGGAATTTAAACTATGACTACATGGCCCTAATGTCTATTGCGTAATTTAAAAATAAAGCGGTAAAAGATAGAGGGAGAAAGTAGAAACCTCCGGAGCAAGCTTTCTATTAATTCTTTCTGAAAATAGGGTGCTTTGTGGCAACCCTTCTCTCTACACAGCGTCGGAAACCTCTCGAAACGCTAAAAAACACTCTTAGAAGCGCTTAGAAACTCCAGAAATGCTTCCAAGGGGTTCTAGAGAGAGAATCTAGTGATGTGACTAGAGAGAGAATGAGAGAACTGAGTGCAATGAGGGGAATGGAGGCCCTATTTATAGGAATTTGCGCCTGTCAGGTCGAGACGGGCCGTCTCGTCTGACAAGGTCGAGACGGCGGTCTTGCCAAGCGAGACGGCCGTCTCGCCACTTGCGCAAGGTGAGACGGCTGTCTCGAATCCGAGAAGGGGGTCTCGATACCAAAAGGCGAAAATCCTTATTTTTGTGCCAAAAATCCTTCCTATCCTAGTATGGGGCCTAATAGTCTCTCCTAGTGGCTTCTTAGGCTTCATCCATCTTCGAAAAGGAGGTCTTCTAAACTTTCTTATGAGGTCGGGCAAGATTTGGGGTCTACAGATGTTAAAGAGGTAGTTAACTTGTTCCTCGTTGTCGCTGCCGTCAAAACGAGGCTGTCGCAGCGACGCGATGGTTTCCAACTTTCCATTTTTCGCGTTTTTATTGGTGTTTGGTTACAACGCCTGAAGGTTGTCCGATAACCGGGCTGAACCTAAAGGCGAGGTTTTCGAAAGGGTGTTCTTGTGTTGTCCAATAACCGAGCTAACCCAAGAACTAGTTTTGAAGGGTTCTGTGGAGTCGCCACTGATGTTTTTACTGGAAACATCGAAAAAGGGTTTAAAAAGGCGTTGGTTTTCGAAAAACAAACTTTGGTCGTTAGAACCAGAGTTGGGTAAGGGAGTTAGTTATGTGTAAAGGAAGTGTTAGTTCGTTTACGACGCCCGTTTTGGGTTCCCTATGATAGGCTAGCTATTTAAATGATTAAACCGGAAAAATACGCTTTTACCCTTTTATTTGCGGAATTTAAACTATGACTACATGGCCCTAATGTCTATTGTGTAATTTAAAAATAAAGCGGTAAAAGATATAGGGAGAAAGTAGAAACCTCCGGAGCAAGCTTTCTATTAATTCTTTCTGAAAATAGGGTGCTTTGTGGCAACCCTTCACTCTACACAGCGTCGGAAACCTCTCGAAACGCTAAAAAACACTCTTAGAAGCGCTCAGAAACTCCGGATATGCTTCGAAGGGGTTCTAGAGAGAGAATCTAGTGATGTGACTAGAGAGAGAATGAGAGAACTGTGTGAA